CCTGGGCAGGCAAATTCATTGCTGTGAAGTGACTATAGCCTGGGTCTACAATAAAGCTGTGAACTGAGCTCCAAGTATCTATTAGAGAATATGCTTTAGACATACTGACCCATTCTTTGGTAGAGGAGTGGATTATTTTTTCCCTGAATAGGGTCAAAGATGACATTCCAATTCCTTGGTCTACCACAGTGGTGACAATGTGACAATCTGCCATCTTCAATTCTGTGCTGTTCACTATGATAGCTAGTTATACATGTTGATTTAGACCAGCAGTTCTCAACCTGTGGGGTGCAACCCCTTTAGAGGTCACATATCAGATATCTTGCATATAAGATATTTATGATTCATAACAGTAGCAAAATTATGGATTATGAAGTAGCAATGAAATAATTTTATGGTTGGAGGTCACCACAACATGAGGAACTGTATTAAAGGGTCACAGCATTAGGAAGGTCGAGAACCATTGTTTTAGGCTTAAACAACACTAAAATTTCCTTTTCCCAGTCGCAATGACCACACTTCAAGTACTCAATAGACACATTTGACTGGTGCCCGTGGCAGCAAATGGAACAGAGTGAGCACTTCCATCACTGCTGAAAGGGCTACAGGACACTGCTGATGTATTTAGTGAGCATAATATCATCCACCTTACAGGACTTGATGGTAATTAAATGACAAATTGCATGTAAGCACTTAGTATAATACCTCAACTATGTACACACTCAGTAAGTGGGATTTATTACTATTATCCACAGAATAAAAATTCTCCTAAAAGGCGGTCATCTAAGTACCAAGTTTAATTTAGAGAATGCATTACACACACACCCCATGTTTAATTCTTGGCATTATCTCTTACTGAGAGCAGAGGTTATAGGGAACATTAAGAATGATGAATCCTCGAATTCCCTCCCTTACAAGGTCACAGGCTACTGCAGAGCCCAAATCGAAGTGAGAAGAGGGGCTGGGCATTCTTTAAAGAGAAACAGAATGGCGGAGCAGTGGTGGCACATGCCTTTAATCCTAGTACTCAGGAGGCAGAGCCAGGCGGATCTCTGTGAGTTCGAGGCCAGCCTGGTCTATAGAGTGAGATCCAAGACAGGCACCAAAACTATACAGAGAAACCCTGTCTCGAAAAAACAAAGACAAAAATAAAAAAGGGAAAGAGAAACAGAATAAGTCAGGCTGTGAGAAACATTCCCCTTCAATGACATTCTAGCAGAAAAACACATTGGATTCCTTGTTAAAGGGAAAGAGAAGAGAGAAGAGGAAATGCAGGTGTGATGATTAATCCTGACTGTTAACTTGATGGGATTTAGGACCACCTGGGAAACAAACCTGTGGGCATATCTGTGAGGGATTTTCTAGATTATGTTAATTGAAGTGGGAAAACCCTCGATGTGGGTGGAGCCATTATGTGGGTTCTAGACTAAACATAAAAGGGAAAGGCTTCTGAACATCAGCATCACGTCTGCTTCCTGACTGTGGACACAATGCAATCAGCTACCTGCCGCCATGCCTTCCTGGCCATGATGGACAATAGCCTTAACCTGTCAGTCAGAAGCAGCTCTTTCTTCCTGAAGCTGCTTCTGTCAGGTATTTTGGACCATCAACAAGAAAAGTAACGAACAGAGTAGGCAAAGGGAGAGAGAGAAAGAGTTATTGGGACATGAAACAACTTTTCGGTGACAGGCCCAGAAAACTGAGCCTGGGTCTCAGGCCTCTGACTTGTAGGTTATTGATGAAGAATAATATCCATGGTGGTTTAGCCACTGCCTAGAGTATGGAGTTTCTTTATTGTCTAGAATGGGCTAGAATATGGAGATGGGCTATGGAGCCTTAGAGCATGTGAACCAAGCAGACCCATGGAGAAGCAGGAGGCAAGTTGTAGGTGGGGGAGTCGGACTGTGAAAGAGATGGGATACAGAACATGACGAGAAATGTACTTTGCACATCCCTTCCCAGCAGCCACTTAGCCCCTCACAGTGTGCTCTGACCTACATTTCTCCCTGGAAACATTTGCTGATTTTGTCTGAGGGTTGAAACTGGAATTCTTGGACTGTGAAAGCTCAAGAGCATTGAGGGATCAGAGAAACAATAGTTAGCGCTTAGTAAGTACTTACACTGTGCTGGATACTAAGCAGCATTCAGTTCCTTCTTAAAATAATCATATGTAATATGATACAGACCCAGTTTTCATACCTACTGCTTTTCATCTATAAAATGGAACAAAGAGATTGTCTAAGAACAGAGACTGACTTTATGGAAGGGTTGGTTCCTGGCTGACCACATGAGATTGGAGGCTAATGGTGCATAAAATATCTGTGGCAACCAACAGCCAAGGATATAACATGTAACATGAGTTCAGAATGACATTTTATAGGGGACAATATATTGTGAGGCCAGGCATTTAGGTCTTGGGTTGTCTAGTTGTGTGACTAGACTGATCATTCTATGTTGTTCCTGTTTATATCTGCAGAACTGGATTCATTATAGTTCTTCACGATATTTTAAAAATCAAAGAGCTTAAAACCATAACACTATGTGCATCTTGACCTTATTACGAGGCCTGGGCCAGGTTGGCTGGGCGTCTTCTTTCAAGACTATGCATAGTCAGGCTGCAGTTGTCAGAGATGCCAAAGCAGTGAAGAGGTATGTACCTGAGTTTTCTCTTTGCTAGCCTATGTGGGAAATTGGTCAACAAAAGGTTTCTCTTTTGTACATATGAGCTTGAAACCCCAACAAGTCTTTGTAGATAGTCACCTACTCATTCATTTATTTATTCTTCCATAATCCTAACAAACCCTTATTAGGCATGCACATTAGTTCATGTGCGTAAAAGTATAGCACGTGGCTTTGGGCGTCTTGCTATAACTCTGGGTCCTTCTCTCCCTAACCATGTCAAGCATATCATCTACATGAACCTGTTTTCTTTCTTGTAACATTAAAAACATAAAGGCTGCAAATAAGATAGGCTACATGGAAAGCTTTAGAAAGTATTATATAAGTACAAGTATTGCTAAATTTGGAAAGTGACACACTAAGAAATACGATATTTGAGAATGTATTATGAAATGAACACTAACCATTAGTAGACTATGGGTAAGTCCCTGGGTGTGTAAAGACTGGTGGGAGAATGAACATGACTTCTAGCTGCCTCAACTTTGGATTTTTGGTCTGATTCTGATTCTGTTTGAGTCATTTCCACTTGCCTCATTTCTCCTTGATCCCCCAAAACATCACAAGTTGAGATGTTGATGGGATTAGAAAATGAGGTACTCTCTACTCTCCATCCTTTTTTTTTTTTTTGGTAAATAGCATTTTTATTAAGGAATTTTTTATTCATTTTACATACCAATCACAGATTCCCCTCTCCTTCCTCCTCCTGCCCCTTCTGCCTTCCCCCACAACTCACCCCTCATTCCCTCCTCCAACAAGGCAAGGTCTCCCATGGGGAGTCTGCAGAGCCTGGTACATTCAGTAGAGGCAGGTCCAAGTCCCTCCCCCTGCATCAAGGCTATGCAAGGTGTCCCATCATAGGTAACAGGAGCTCTCTACCCTTTCTAAACAGGAGTATTATTAAATTCTCAACACTCTAAGGTCTCGCGTAGACCGCTCAGCACTTGTGATGGAAACAAAAATACTTCATGAATGAATCTCATCTTTTCAAAACAACAGAGGAGGAAAAAAAGTGACCCTTCAGAATTTCTTTAGAGTTGCCTACCTCCTTAGGCGGCAAAGACAACAGTAGAGAGCCATAACTAAGGACCTGCTGCCAAGGTCTCATTGGATCGACCACACAAGATTTATTAGTGCACCCAGCTTTCTTGAACTAGCATTGAAACCCCACCTGGTTTCCACTGGCCTTTTCCTTTCACAGAAATATAACTGTTCGGGCTAAGGCAAGAAGCTTTCTCTTCAGAGCTCAGTGTCTTGAGTTCTCTTTCTCATGTGCAGAAAAATCACATAGCCTTGGACAAAATAGACACTGTGGCATCTCCCAAGTCTCTCAACCTCTTCCCAGCATCACCAGAAAACGCTGTTCTGTACAGGCTAGTCTGGTGTTACCCAAAGTGCCCAGTATAATGCTTGCCAGGTAAGCAGTGCCTGAGAACTGTTCTCAGAATCCAATCACAGACTTTGTATTCTGTTTCCTTGTTTCAGGCTGCCCTGGCAGATTTGGAGGTCTGAGGAGGAAGCATCAGACATCCTAGAGCATTTCCTGTTTAGCTCCTTTGCATTCATAAGAGTCCCGATGAGATCATGAGAAACTTCAGTCCACTGAAATGTTTCCCACAGAGCTTCGTGCTCTGACATTGAGATAGTTCTCAAAAAAAAAAAAAAAAAAAAAAAAAAAAAAAAAAAAAAAAAAAAAGCAGGACTCACCCTATTGCAAGGTAGAGTTAGTGACCATCTGCTGAGGTGGGGGGAGTCAGGGTGATTCAAATGCTGCTCTGCACTACCACTATGATGTCACGGGGGATGTCTGAAGTCCTTTTACAAGACTGAGGATGTGATTATAAATGAGAGGCAAAGCAATTATTTGAATTCATCCTCTAGTCTAAATGACTGACATGATATATTCCTTTTGAGTAAATCCTAGTAGGTAAGAAGAAAGGAGCATAAAGACACTGACACCTGAAGAGACTAAAGGGTGACAACCTGATAGATGGGCTCAATTAAAGAGGTGGAGAGACCCCAGGGACCAAGTAGCACAATCCACGACATGCCATTTTTCTAGTCACAGGACTGAGATGTTTTAATCTGCGGATGAGGTCATTGTTAGAACCGAGTTAGAAGCAGAGGTCCAGGCTCTATATCTGAGCACAGAGCCTTCCCATGCCTTGGACTGGACATAAGACTGCTGCAGAGAAACCAGATGAATCTTATTTCCTTTCCAGTTTGGTTTGTGGCTGGACTGCCCTCTTTTCCCTAGGAGAGACCATGGCCCACAGCTCCTGGATTGGAGGAGCTTGCTGTGTTCCCAGATGGGGTTCACTCACCTGTGGTCGCTTCCATTCCAGTTTTGAAAGGTGTTTACCCTTCAGCAGCTTCTGGCCTATGGAAGATGCCTCAGCCGGGAACGTATCATCTGTAAACAGCTGACCCCGGCTCAGGCACCGATCCCGTAAAGTCCTGAAGTCCTGATTCTTGAACTTGACCACCGAGGTCTCTGTTAGAGGCTCTGGGTTATGCGCCATGACTATTTCTAGGAAGATGTCTGGAATCCTTTCTTTCTGGTGAGGAAAAGAAAAATGATTAGCACCAGAACATTTTGATGCCTCCACTTTCATAAGATCTGAGGCTCAGATCTCTGCTGTCCCTCCCTGGCATAGAGCCCCGGGGCGGGCAAGCCCCAACTAAAATTCATCATCCCTACTTCCTGGTTACATTCAACTTGGTATACTGAATTAGCATCTCAGTGTGTTCTTGTGTGCACCAGAGACTATGAGGGGATTTGTTCCTTTAACGAACATTTATTGAGCACTGACCTTGTGCCAGGCTCTCTTCTGAATGTTGGCAATCCAAAGATAAATACACCATGATCTTTATCCCCTATGGGCTTGTTATCAAGCGAGAAAGATGGATTAGACATTTCAAGAACCTGCTATCATTCAACAGACACTACTCAATTAAAAATGTGTACAAAGTCTGTGGCCATAAAGAGAAAGCACCATAATCTCGGCCAGCCCAGGAGGACATACCCATAGGTGGTAACATTTGAATCAGCCCTTGAAGGAAGAAGAATTTACACGATGGAGAAATGGTGGGTAATGCTTTAAGTGTCTGCAGCTGCCCTGAATAGCAAGTGCACCACAGAAACCCCTGGAAGCTGGCTTGTGAAGTAATAGGGTATGGGAGAATAGGAAGTGACTTGGAGAGTTTAGTGGGGTTGGGATTGGAATAGTTAAGTACTTGGAAAAAGCGGCTAGAAAGGCAGATTGGAAAGTCACATTAAGGGTTTTTTATCCATTTGTTTTTGTTTGTTTGGGGTTTTGACAACCACCTGTAAGCGTGTGTGTGTGTGTGTGTGTGTGTGTGTGTGTGTGTGTGTGTGTGTGTGTGTGTGTGTGATGTGTCCTGATCATATCTGTAGATAGGATGTCACTTCTGGAATTAGTAGGTGGCCTGATGAAGGTGAGGATACATGCAGATTGGAGGAGCCCCCACATCTGCCCTCAGGAGAGACGGTGGTGGAGGCCAAAGATGGTAGAAGGTGGACACGTCTCAGGTCTCGTTTATAGGTAGGACCCATAAATTAATGAATGAATTAAAACAAGGAGGGGAGGGGAGGCAGTGTGGTGAATGGTCACATGGGTTTTAAAGTTTACATTGTACTTTTACCACCTACCCCTTGGGTCTACAATACTGAAATAGTGCCCATGTCTCTGAACAGATCTCTCTACCTATATGGGTCTATTGTACCAAACTTAGAGGGTTTGTGATGATATTAAATAAGATTTGACCTAACCAAGAAGCTGGTAGGGGTCATTAAATGTCAGTGTCAAACTTCCTTAATACATTGTCAATAACGGTTTAGGATTCTTGTCCACGCAGCCATACAGGTGTAAGGAATGGAATCCAACAACACGTACATCCCATTCACCATCTGTGAATCCAGCTAGTCTGGATCACAGTCCAAAGTTCACCTTATTAGTGGGGCGTGAAAACCCCCTGCAGGTCTTAAAGTCCTGCTATAGAAGCTTCTTTGGCAAAGATCTACTTAGGGCACATAAAGTTCCAATGTCCATTATTTCCCACCCACGACGGCCTCACAGTGAAGAAATCAAGCGAGAAAGAATAAGAGAACACGGGGAACTAACTTATAAGGGAATAATACGAGCTGACAGCCAAGACTTGTGAATCCTAGAAAAACATATGCAAACTTAAAATAACTTTGCAATTATCTTGCAGTTACTTGGTAGTGGTATGTGGCAAATTACTGAGATGGTGCAAACTCACAGGCAGCATATCACCAGTTAAGTGTCATTGTATGAGCACATTCAGAGGGAAATTGTACTTATAATTTCTCCCAAATAAGAGATGAATAATTTACATTGGCATTATTCAACTGAGCCCTATAAAACTGGCATTGTTATGGATCAAAAATAATTAAATGGAATCAGATCCATATAGTTTAACTTAAGGTAAAATAATGGTGAAACACAGACCATTTGATTTGTCTTCAGTTAGCATTATACACGTATTACTTCAATTTTATTCTTGGGGACAAAAACAACACCAAACTATTCTGTACGCCTCGCCACCTGCAATGGGGTTTATATAGAGGGCCCACAACAAATTAAACAGTAGTGGCAAAGCCGGAGTAACTGCAAGCTATCATTCAAGAGCAGGAAAACAGTGGTAGAAGCTGCTTGTCAATTCAAGACAATGGCAATGACAGCTGGTAATGAAGAGTTAGGAAATTGTGGGTTTGCCAACTCTGTGCGTGCTTGGGGACCGGGGAACCAACACAGCATTACCCAGCTCCTGCCTCTCCATCAAATACTGAATTGGAATATGTGAAAAAACTCTAGCAATGACCTAATTTTAGCTTATGAAAACCACACTATAGTTACCCTTAATAACACAATTATGGGATTGCTAGTAAGGAGCCCATAATTGCATGTAAAAATTAAAGTTTAAAAGATCTTGTTTCATTTATTTGTCAGAATCATTCAAAGGTCTTATATGTAGGGAATGAGTCCCTGGCCCATTCTAGAGAGTTCCCATTGCCCACTACTGGGCAGTGAGTTGGCTAGACTTTAGGCATGCCCACTGACGAGTCCCTGTCCAGATTTGTAAAATGGAGATAACTTTACATACATAATAGGGTCATTCTGAGACTCAGAAGAAACTATGCCCGTAGAATGCATAACACCATAACTGGTAAGTAGAAAGTGGTCAGTGGGTAATCGTCATTAGTACAATGACCATTATCACTTGAGTATAAATGGGTTATGTAGTGGCCTGACATCATCTAAGGCAAGAACTTCCTGTATTCAAGGGTAGGCTAGGATCAGAGGGGCCTGAAGGATGGGGGTAAGAAGGTGATCATACCTCTATTGCTCTTTGTCCTCCACTGTCAGCTCATTCACTGGGCTGTCTAGGCCCAGGAGATAAGGGAAAATGCTCCAAGGGGCAGTGGTAGATGATGTCTGCTGCCGGAAGAGGTAGGCTACTCCGGGGGAAGCAGCTTTTTCTTTTTCAATCCTGTTTATTTAAAGCAGTATTTCGATTAATTCTTTGGGAATTACATACATATTCACCACCTGTCTTCTCCCAGATCCACCTCTATCTCCCTACTCACTCCATTTTCCTGCCCTTGGTGTCTTTTCTTTTTAAACCCAGAGTCCAGTCTGTGCTGCCCAGTCCACTTGGACGTAGGGCCATCTGCTGCAGCGTGGTTGACTGACCAGAGGTTCCCTCCTTAATGGAAACTGCCTCTCCCTTTCCCAGAAGCTATTACCAATGGTGCCTCAGTCAGGGGTGGGACTTCATGTCCACCTCTGAGGGAGAATCTTGATGGGTAACAGAAAAGACAGGCAGGTTCATTCAGCTAACCGAGACACACTTGTGTCCACACACACATGCAGCACACATGCCTCATACTGTGTCTTCTCCTTTCTGGACTGTTCATCTGCAGAACTGGACAGGATGTCACTATTATGTGTCCCAGGAAGGACCGATCAGTTTTCCCACCTGTCACTTTGGAGGGGGCTTTGGGGTCTCGTTCCTGTCCTCTCTTTCCTACTTGCCTCACATTGTAAGGGAAACAGAAACAGGTGAAGACTTGACTGTCCTAACTTGAGAAAAAGAAAACATAAGAGAGGAAAGCCCTGCCTGATGCTTGGGCTGGAGTCTGGCTGGCTGCTGGGTCTCTCTTGGGGTTCCCCAAGAAAATACAGCATAGGGAGGTATGACAATGATAGAATGGGTAGAAACTGAGAAATCAGGTAAGTGAATGAGTCAGACTTCGGGAAGAATGTGGGGGGCGCTATGAAACCTCCCCTTCTGCTGACCTCTATGAAACAGGCTGAATCCAGACTTCTCTACACTCCTCTGTTGAGGGGAAACTGCCTTCACTTGGGCTGCATAACAAAACACCAGTGGCTGGGCCCACTAGCAACAGATTTTCTTGATTCCATCTGGAGGCTTGAAGGGAAGCATGGTTCTGTGTTCTCACTTCCTCTTTATACAAGACCACAGTCTTTTTGTATATGGCCTGTATTCTTGACATAAACTAGTTCCTGATGCTGTCACCTCTAGATGCAGTCAAACCAGGGGCTGGCTAGGTTTCCTTCATACCAGTCTGGATAGGGATGAGGGAACTCAGATCAATTTGCAGCAGTGGTCCACTTACTCCAGTGTGACCCAACAACTCTCTTGGTACTGATTACATAGTCTAAGAAGTTTGTAGATCCAAGGGTACTGGGGAATTAGGAATAATGAGGACCTGGGGGTGTAGGGGAACAGCTGTCAGTGGACATCAGGCAGCACCTAACAGTACTGAGCAGACAAATATTTGAATGAATGGAAAGATGGAAAGGGCCTCTCTAACAGAATAGCACTGATACTTGTTGACACATGCAACAACATGGATACATCTCAAAAATCATTATGCTGAGTGAAACCAGTCAAAAGGAGCACATACCATACAAGGACATTTAGCTAATGTGATTGTGATGGAAAACGGTCAGTGGTCACCCATAAACCGAAGGAGAAGAATGAAGGCATTACAACTTTTGAGGGTGACATTGATGCTCATCTTGAGCCTGGTGAGGATATCGCATGCGTGGACACCTTCCAATTCCATCAACATTTGTACTTTAAATATGTACAGTTATGTGTTAGTTGTACCTAAAGTTGCTTAAAATTAGGTGCTGTACATAACTTATATAAAATTCATCATTCACTCTCCTTCCCATCTCACACATTATCCTACAACTTACACAGCCATCTCTGCATTGATATTAGATGTTCTCTCCGCTTTAATGAAAAGTTATGCCATAAATATGCCACAAAAATACCTCATCCTAATGTCTCCAGGTTGGAACTCCTCGAGTGGAAGTTTTGAGTGTAGAGGATGTACACATGCAGTCAAACTCAGATACACTATTTTCCAAGGAAGAGTCTCCACTGCTGTGTATCCTGAGTGATTCTGGGTATTGGCAAGTTACTCATTAGTATCTGGCTAGTGTGAGCAAATAGCAGCTCCTTGTGGTCTTAATTTGTTTCCCTGATTAGTGGTAAGATTGAGCATTTTTCAATATGTTTCTTCTCCATTCATGCTCTCTCCCTTGAGAAATGAATATTCATATCTGATGCACATTTATCTACTGGCTTGTCCTTCTCTCATTGATTTGTAGGACTTCCTTATCTTCTTGGGATATTCATCTTTGATTGGGTATGTATGTTGCGAGTATCTTCACCCAGCTTGTGGCTTTATCTTCTTTCACAGTGTCATTTGAAGAACACAACTATATTCTAATTTACATAAACATATTAAGATATCAGTTTAAATTTTATACAGAACCCAATGCTAACAGTTGTGGGTATTTATAAGAAACTGTGTGCACTTTTCTCCCTTTTTTGTTTGTTTAAAGTTGATTTTGAATTAACACTACAATTTTTCTGATTTAAGGATTTTTATAGCTCGATGGCAACTTTACCAAGTCTGTTTGAAAAAAATTGAAATAGACTCACCAGAAACATTTTGAGTATTTAATAAATAATGCTGGAGGAAGTGTGTGTGTGTGTGTGTGTGTGTGTGTGTGTGTGTGTGTGTGGTGTTCCTGTCTTTAAAAACAATTTTTTGATAAAAATCTCCTATTACTCTGCACATGTAAGGTGGGAAATGCAGGCTAGCTTGGGCAGACTGTGCATCCTGCCAGAAGGAAGCACTGTGCAGTGTATCACATTGAGGCAGGACATAGCACAGTAAACAGAATTCATCGCTCACATTTTGACACCGAGATGCAGTAAGGGGGTCCGGATTACCTGGGAATCATTGTACTGTAATGTAATGGTCATCAAATTATGTTCCTTGCCCCATCCTGCTCAGCATGTCTACCTCAGTCACCATAGAAAGGTGTTGAGATTCAAATGAAGATCCTTTGCAACTTCCCCCATCATGTTTAATAGTGGAAATCAAGGAGAACCACAACCCAAGAGCTGACAGAATCAAAGCTCTAAATGACCTCAGAACTAAGAGGATGAAGTGTGACCTGGACCACCACAAAACTGTCTTTGCATATGAAGACGAACTGTGCACATTCAAAGAGAGCAGGGCCAGAGTTAGCATGACTTCATTTTGAAAATACTCTGGGCATTTGACCATGCTCCCATAAGTATATGGGCAACACAAATTGGACTTGGTGTATTTTTTCTTCTTTCTTGGGGGGTGGGGTGGGGTGGGGTGGGAGAACACACAGGTTGGGGGATAGACCTGGGAGGACTGGGAAGCAAGTGTGATTGGGGTACATTGTATGAAATTCCCAAATAATCATAAAAGTATTGTGTTGGGGGAAAATAAAGAAAAAGAAAACACTCTGTATATCTAATGTCCTGCTTAAAATGGAGCAAAACTATGTGTGGGGTCTGAACAGCTTCAAAGGCAATGTCTAGATAGAATGGCTGTAGTCTTGTATATTAAGCTGTTCTTGGCTTACTGGAGTATTGAATGTGTGGCTTCAGTACTAGGGGCTACATTCCAAGGGGTCCATTGCCGGTCTCTCTCTCTCTCTCTCTGTTGAGTCCAAACAAGAGTAGAATTTGGCTAGGGAGGACAGTACTCCACTTGCAGGCAGGCTTTTTGATATGTTGTTAGTTATACCCACCTGGAGCAGTGGGTGACTGTATTGCATTTGTACAAACAAGATATACAGGTTGGAGGCAGTCTGGTCAAGCAGACGAGGAACCTAGAGACCATGATCAGTATCTAAATAAGTTTCCTGGGAGGGAGGGCACAGAAACGTCATTGTTCCCAGCCCCTGTCTCCTGATTCCCAAGCCTTTCAGAACACGGCTGTTCTGAGAAGGCACAAGTTTGACCATCTCTGGACCCTAAACAGCTGCTGGGTTCTTGTCCTCTCTGGTCTGAGACAGCCGTTGTTGGAATCATCTGGCCACATCACAGAAGCCAGGCTAATAGGCCTGATTTTAACATATATTCTTTCTCTTGGTTCTGTTACCCTAGAGAACTCTGACTAACGCACCATCACATACAACACAGGAATCACTAGGCACCTGTGGCCCTTGAGTTCTTTGTTATAAGGCAAGTGACTGACTTTTAATCTGATCCCATTCTAGTTCATTTACATTTAAATTGCATTTAACTGTACCCAATCTCCACGCAACAAGTGGCCGCCTTACCAGGGAAGCACCAAGGAAAAGACCCGCTCATGACACGAGGTGCCATGGAACAAGGAGGAACATGACAGCATTCCAGTCGGACTCATCAAGCAGAGGAGCGGATGACTGCAGAAGGATGCAGAAGAATCTTCGCAGCCTGCAGATCTCTTTCAACTTTGGCCCGCTGGGCGCTCTCCACTCAATTACTTTTCTCCAGCATCCAATTTTCCTACCACGGACTCACTCAGTCACTTTCTTCCCATGACAGGCCCAGGAAAGCAGCTCCCCTTCCTTCCCCTGAGCTGTCCTGGTGTCCCTGCCTACAGGAAGTACTTGGAATATTCAAGCCATAAAGGGTGAGTTCGTTTGCAATTTTTTTTTTCCAAGTCAGGTAAGAAACAGGAAGGAGTGTTCAATTGCTGCCGGCCCGGGAGTGATGCACACAGCCCTCTCCTGGCCGGGGTTTTTTAGAACAATGGAAATAAATCTGATGTAATGTAGCAGAACACGACAAGGGACGGCTTTCCCCTTAACAAATACTCATTTGAAATGGTGCCCAAACCCTGCACGAGGAGCGATCTATTTCCCCACAACAGTGTTACAGCAAAACCCATTACTAATTCCACAACTCAAATTAAAACTAACAGAGCTTGAAGGCTGGGCCTGACACTCTCTCTGCTGACAAGGAACAAGGAAGGGTGGGGGAAGGGAGCCTGCTCACTCTCATGTGTATGTGTTTAATTACACTGTTTAACACACGGAGGATAATTTAGTCACCGGAGTGGAGAAAATAAGGCACTTAACTGCTCTCTGGCGGAAAAACACCCGGTGCAAACCACTTTTAGCTATATGCCACCTTGA